TGGGAGTGACCTCAGAAAGGGCTCGGAGGGAGAGCGTGGGGCCATGCTGGGTCCTCGGAGGTAGGGGAGGTGGGTAGGGGCTCGAGATCTGAGAGGAGAAGCAGGTTACAGGTTACAAGCGCTGTTTGCACCTTCCCGTAGTCTGCCGTCTTCAAGAAAGAGAATGGTCGTTATGTTTCCATGCGCAAAAAGTCACCACGGGAGAACTTCAGATCATGTATGCTAATATGAAAAGGTGCAAGATATGTCGTTCATGAAAAATAGGAGGAAAAAGTTATTTTTAGAAAAGTATTTTCCCCGTGAACCCACTTATAAGGAATGGACACATGCATGCATGTGAATGTGAGTTGGTATTTCAGTGGATATATGTAAATGCCTATATTTATATAGACAGTTTCTGGACATACATAAAGAGAATGAATCTGGGAGTGGGTCTGTGAGGAAGGCATTTATTTTTCAATTAATTCCACCTAGTGTGTGTGTTTTTTACAGTGAGCACACACTACTTTCAGGACTCTTTTTAAAAAGGGAAAAAACTTAAGGTATTTTAATAATAGATAAGACTAAGCCTTGTAGCCTCTCTTTGGAGAGGAGAGACAGGAGGTTGTTGGCCCAAAGCACACACACAGGATGTGAGGGTGTGACCAGCATAAAGGTGCGTCAGGTGGTCTGAGACTTTTTCCCCGTAGAAACAGGCCTGACTAGCTTCTCTTGGGTTGCCTGGTGTCCCCCACCGTACCTGCAGCCAGAAGGGATCCTCTGGTGTTGGTCTGCACAGTTCTGACAGTTCTGTGCTTAGCCAGTTTTCACTGGGTAAAGGCAGGAATCTGGTGGGTTACTTCCTTTTTCATTTGCCTATAAATCTGGGTGTTGAACCCAGATGGCATTATATTTGACACCCTAACAGAGAATAAAAGATACTGCAACTTGGGAGTGAGCCAAGATTTCTTAGTTGGGACACATACAAAATTGACAAATTGGACTTCATAGTAATTTAAAACTTCTGCTTATTAAAAGGCACTAATAAGAAACTGAATACACAAGACATGGACTGAGAAAAACTACCTCACAAAGGACTTCTATCTGGAAGGTTCAAAGAGACCTTCTAATAGTAAGAAGTTGAACAGTTCAGTTTAAAGAATGGGCACAAACTTGAACAGGCCTTTCTCAAAAGAAGATACACAAATGACCACTAAATACATGAAAGGGTGCTCAAAATCCCTTTTTGTCATTAGGGAAATATGAGTTAAAACCACAATGAAATACCACTACACATCTACGAGAAGGGCTAAAATTAAAAATATTGGCAATTTCATCTGATGACAAAAATGTGGAGCAATTGGAACTCTCAAACATGGTGCCTCTTAGGAAAAAGAATCTGTCAGTCCCTAGAACAGTGATTTCAACCTTTTTCATCCCAGGGCTCACATAAACTAATTACTAAAATTCTGCATCACACTCAAAAAATGTATTTTTTGCCAATTTGACAAAATTAGGTATAACTTTGATTGATTTACTTTTAAAAAGATGATAATTACCTACTCTTTTTGCTCCAAAGTGACTTTTTAAAAAATCAGGTGCCTATCCTATATAATAAAAGCCTAATATGCAAATTGACCGAACGGGGGCCCGGGAGCAGGCGTCACCACCCGATCTCCAACCAGGCCGAGGGACCCCCTACCCATGCCTTAATTTCATGCACCGGGCCTCTAGTACTTGTATATAAGGACTTCTGGTTCCAAGAATTAAACCATCAGATGCAACTTTATTATGCGATGTGCCCAATAAGATGCTGCTCTGTTATGTGACCTATATATTTATGGTTCAAGACAGGGCATTCACACCGGACAGCTCTTGTTGTGTTGGCTGTTGTCATTTTTTTTTATTTGACAATCTAAGGGAAAAGAGGTCAGTGCCCCTGCCTAAATAGTCCGGTATTGCATGTCTTAAAAATTCTGCGGCCCTCAGGTTGAAAATCACTGCCCTAGCAAGTTAGACATTGACTTACCAGCAATTACGCAAGGGAAATGAAAACATGTGTTCATAAACGATTGGTACAAAAGTTCATAGCAGCTTTTTTTCTTTTTTAAATCCCAAACTGGAAGCAATACAAACGTCCACCTGCGGACAGGTAAACAAATTGGAGCATAGCCACACAATGGAATACCACTCAGTAATAGCAGCAATAAGGAATGAACCCCTGGTACCACATCATGGATGAATAACAACGCCAATCTAGCAGTTGCCCAGGGCAAGGGTAGGGATGACAGCAGAGGGGCTCAGGGAACTTTGGGGTGATGGAAATCTGTCTCTCCGTTGTGCTCTGTGTCTTCATTATGGTCGTGCTAACACTGGAGTGAAATTGGTCAGAACTCAATAAGCTATACACCAAGGCTGGCATCACTGTGTCCCCCAGGAACGCTGCCACTGTGGTGCCAGTGTACACACACTTGTGTAAATACATAAGCATGTTTTCTCAGACCACGTGCAGTTCTCATGTTTGCCAATCCGTGTTGGGGGGCTGGGCATCCCATGCCTTGCCTGCCATTCCATTCTGTGCATAGCATTTCATATTAAAGCTTCTGTTCCCCCTGGAATTGACCCAGTCAGGATGGAGAAGTGGGACTGTGGAAATTGATTATGAATGAGCTCCCGAGAAGACTGGGTGATGGGCCTACCCCCAAATGCCTGCAGACCAGCAGGAGTGCTGAGGTAGCATCAGGGGTTTTATATGTGGCTGCCAGGGGTGTGGCAAATCTGGATGGAAGGAAGGATTGGGGGACTTGTCCTAACGCGTCGTTTTTGCTTAGTTTGTGTGTTCATTTGGCTTGGGTGGGGTCGTGGGTGGATGTTACGTGGGTCTACAATACTCCTCAAGTTGTCCCTTAGGTTCTGCGAAATTCATGCGAGTATTAATCATACTCTTTTTGTTTAAGGCCTCTTTCTCTTCCTTCTTTCTCGTTTATTTCATTATGCCTTTTACACCTCCCTCCTGAGGTCCACTGTGACGGTGAAGAATATAAATCCTGACTCCTTACCTGTGTTTTCTCTTGTTCTGCCCCCTCTGAACCTCCTGGTGGTTCAGGAAAACTCTGGGTAAGAGTCACCTGGGGAGACGGGGACATGGGGCCAGGCCAGCCATGGGTTGCGGCGGCACTTGCATTCTCAAAGATGGCAAAGAGCCTCCCTTGCTGAAAACAAACAGGTGTGTTTTCTCAGCCCTGAGATAAGGAAGGGCCCTTTCCAAAAAGAGGGAGTAGAAAGGGGAAGTGTCAGCCCCCACGGCACCTCCTGGGAGCTGCTTGCTCCCCTGAGGTTTGCGAGGTGCCAGCAATACCCCGAAACTGCAAATTCTGCATCTTGGCAACAGGCCCTGTGGGAAATCAAGAGGGCGGGGCAGCGGGAACCCTGGGAGCAGTGAGTGGAACTGTTAAGTTTTTCAGTTCATCCTTCAACTGACATACGTATATTTCAATATCAGTGGGAGCCATGACTGTTTTAAGAATTTCACCCCAGGAATTGCTAAACAAGTTAATTTACCTGTTTCTCATGCAATGTACCTATTAAAATAAACTTTTACTCCATTATGGAGTTTAAGTAACGGGCCTCCTGCAGGCAAAATAGAAAAGGGCTTGCAGAGTAAAAGCTCCTGTAGTTTTTTTTCCTTTTGAGACATTGTCTTCTGGAACCAGCGTCATCTATATTATTAATCACTTGTGGGGCTTTCTACTGCTTCCCATTGCTCCCTTGGAATTAAACTGCCCCTATAAAATATGAAAAATGTACTTTTTAAACAGTAAAAAAGTCATTTTCTAGCATAATACCCCAAATAAAGTGCCATGGAGCCATTAGTAGTAAATTGAATTTTTTGGTGTGTAATTTGTACAAAAACTGACAGGTGCGATCCCCACTCTCCCCCCACCGTTCATCATTGGGTTTCGCGGAATCAGAGGTAGCGATCTGCAAGGACAGGCATTCTGATGTCATCTTCAGTTGCACACTTCATTTACTTGGGCAGGTCACAGGCGGCGGCGGCTTCTGTCACTCGGCGCCACCGCACTTATTAGCGAATCTCGCCCCAGGGCAGCTGGGACGCTGGGCTAGGGCAGATGTTCTTTTCAGCCTATTCAGTGACCATTCTTGGGGGTTGTTTACTGTTGCCATGGTGACTTTCATTTCCATAGCAGCCGCGCTGCTGTTTCTCAGAGGAAAATGAATTTAGTTATAAAAGGATAATATTTTTCTCTGTCTCTGTATAACCTGCCATCTGTCGACCGGTGGATCAGTAAGGATTCAGAAACCTATTAAGAATTACAGCAATGAAGTGATGGGGATTTTTTTTTTTTTGGTCCCATATTAAAAGCAATCATAGATGTGGGAGCAAACATTGTGCTCTCAACATCATAACTTTGATTTTTTTATATATATATATATGTTTTAAGCATGTGTGTTTTTAATGCCTTCACCACTGCTGTACACGCACACACATACACACATGATCTCATAAAATGCAACTTAGGTTCTGCTGACAAATGGAAATGACCAGCCGTCTTGTGTGTACCGCACTAGATGTAGGTGTGTGTAATGCTTTCTCTTCCTGGTGCTGTGAGCTTCCCCAGTTCATTCGAGATTCCTGTGGCTGAACTTCCTATTGTCGCCCCAGTCTCCTGCGCCTGCACCCAGGGAACAAGCTGTCGGGGTGCATGGATCAGCCCCGTTATCAGGAACATACAGGGCAAATCATGAAACTAGCAAAATGAGAAGAGAGACCATGCTCTGTTTTAAAAACATAAGAACCTGCCCCTTACATCTCTTTCTAGAATACCTTTCTCCCTCTCAAGTCCAAGTGGGAAGAAAGTCACCTTGGGGATCTAGCTCATCAAGTTTCGGGGCTTTTTTTTTTTCTCTGTTGCATTCATAAACTAACGTGCAGGGGGAAAAACCACGCACACACAGCGGCCCCGTTGTAAATAATGTTATTTATTGGTTGACTTTTCCAGATCCTGACATTGATGCTGCCAGTGCCATGATGCTTTTGAATACTCCCCCTGAGATACAAGCAGGTTGTGAGTAGCTATTTCTATAGCCTTCAGCACATAGTTTGTGAACTTAACCTTCTCATTTACATACCAGGCCATAGGGAGAACTAATGCTCAAGTAGAACCTCCCTGCAGAATCACTTTTTAAGACGACCTTCGTGCGTGATGACACACACATGCATACGAACACGTGGCCGTGCATATGTGTGAATGGAGGCTTAGGTGTGTCTCCACGGTGGCAAAGTTCTCGTCTAATTTCAGAGCTTCGGGCTTGGGGGAAGGGAAGCAGGCCCCGTAATGAGTCCCAGCGGAGAGGCCTTCTCCGCGCCTGCAGGGATCGCTCCTGCGAGTCTGTGGTTTCTGCTGGAGACGCTACGTGGGGCCAGCTTAGCAGTCCTGCTGCTGAGCGGTGCCCATTTTTAGAAACTCCTTCCCTTTGGGATCTCATTAATAGCAGGCTACCATCGTATAGATGGAGAGAGGGGAGAGGGTCGTCTGGCTGAGGTGGGTGTCATGCAGGAGCTTGGACGAGCCTTGAAATGGACCCCCATGGCGCCCCAGGGTCATCCGCACCAGCCTTCCTGGCTGCCAAGGGCAGGAGGGCAGGGCTGATTAGCCCAGCAGAGCTCCTGTCCTCACCTTCTGTTGGCCATTGAGCAATATTAGGCTTGAGACAACTCTCCTCCTTCTTTGAGCTTCTTTTCTACCCACCCCCTTGTGTTTTTTCCCCCCTACATCTGGAGCTAGACTACCATGGTTTTAGAAAGACCTTCTTGCCAAGGGATGATAACGGGCCTTGCATGGAGATGTCTGTCCCCTCTTCCTTCTGGCTTGAGATGAGTTCCTCTGCCCACGTTCCACCCCCAGCCAGAAACCTGCTGAGCAGACAGCCAGCTCGTCCGCCAGGGTCTGCTCAGCTCGTCGGCAGGACGTTGCTGCGCTGCAGCCTCCTGTTGAGGAGACGTGCAGGCGTGGAGATGACAGCGTGAAGCGCAGACCCGGCCAGGACACCAGGAGCTGGTGCCCACCCGGCTCGTTCTTATGGCCGGGCCCTCACCTCTGTTGGGGCTCTGGCTCTCGAAGGATTGCGTGGCCTCCTGAGCAAAGGGACTCCCCCACTTTGGGAGTCAGTGATGCTTCCCACAGAAAAGCCTCCAGCCTCGGACTCCAGCAGGCTGACTCTGTTACTAGCGCGCCAATGCGGGGTTCCCGGCATCCTCCCCAGCCCTGCTCTGTTCACAGCCGGCCACCAGCCTGTGGAAGTTTGACTCCATCCTTTCTCACTTGTTCCTGTTTTTAAAAAAGATCCAACATACATAGCCCAGCTTTCTCAGGAGGGACTTGTCCCTCCATCAGGGGCTGCCCTTCCCGGCTGCTAAAGGCACAGAATTCTCAGTCTCTCTTGGCTCAGCTCAGATTGTTAGCGATGGAAACGCCAGGCTGCCCACTCCTCCGAGCAGCAGACACGCTGCCCAGGGAATGTGTACCTGGCAGTTGACCTGTAGTGTGGTTTTTCAGCGATGTGTGAAGTTACAGGAGAATATTAACACAAAACACCGCCATTCTCAGATGACGTTGCAGAAAGAGCACAGACCACGTTGTAATCAAATTACAGTCTGAAATGGTTTCTAAAATCAAGTCACATAACTCATCATGGGGGACACATACTGACTTCCTCGGAGCTGTGAGATTCCGGCATCTTCCTTAGCATCTAGCCACTGGTCATTGGTTTAAAACAAATACGTTTGACGAACTGGAGGAATGAAGTTAAGAGGGAAAAGGCGCGGGATTGGCCATTGGCGGGTCCTCGGAAGCTCCCCTCAGGTCCCATCGTCGGGTTCCTGACCACAGGAAGAGCAGGAAAAGGGTTTTCTTTTTTATTAGTTGACAAGTGAATGGCTTTTAATGTTTTCATGACTAAATGAACTTGTCCCCTCTCTTTCACTACAACACTCAAACTGTAAATAGTTTTGTTTTGTTTTCAAGGTATCCATAGCCTTGTTTACCTTGAAATGCTGAATTTGAGTTTTCAAAGCTCAGCGTCCATTTGTTGAGGCTGTCAGCTCATTTTCAGAAGGTTTTCCTGCCTGTTAACACTGTGAGATGCCCAGCACACCGTCATGAAGGCCTCAGACCACACGGCGGCTCCACGTCCCGGAAGGAGGAGCCACGATGCCCACAGGAGCCGTAGAAAGAGCAGCAGAGGAATAATATAAAGGCAGAGGGTGGGGCCACCAGCTGTGTACACCGTCCCCTCTGGCCCCAAGCCCCATAGCGTCCCCTGGAGGTCAGGGTAGAGCAGTGTGAGTGGGCTGTGAAGCTCCAGAGATTGGAGCCTTGAGGGTCTGCTCAGTGCACTGGGGAGCCAGGCTGGCTGCTCCTCCGCCTCCTGTACCCACAGTCACAGGTGTCCATGTCTCCACATCTGCTCAGGTAGCTCTTCTCCGCCTCACTCTTCCTTTGCCTCCCTTTATGTTCATGTTACGTTGCATAATGTTTCTTACCTGGGATGTGGTGCGGTACCCTGCCTCCCAGAGGGAGAAGCGTTAGAGACACAACACGATGACGCCTCCGTCCCCTGCCCAGCCAGCTGTGCCCAAGGCCTAGAAAAAGCGAGAAGGGATTCCTTGGCAGAATGGGTCCGAGGCAGCAGCTACCCGCCAGCCTGCTGGAGTGCGGGCAGCCCGCCTCGTGGTGTGTGCGCGCGTGTGTCGCCGTGTGGGTGTGTGCGTGTGTCGCCGTGTGGATGTGTGTGTGCATCATCCAGCCTCGGGTCCTGCCACTGCCCACGTTTGGGAGTGCGGGCTCCTGCCTGCACACCGCTGCCTGCATTCTCCCCGGGCTCGGCTGGGCCCAGCTCTGTTTATGGAGCCTCCTCATGTGCCACTATTTATAGCCTCTTATTTTCACCTCCTAGCTGTCCGATGCTCCTGTGCGAACGGGGCCACCAACCTGGTCTGTCTGCCGCTGTCACTCCCAGCCGTACGAGGCTGGCCTGGGCGGCCTAAAAGGCTTTCCCTTTCTCATTGCCCTTCGTAGCCTCTGCCCTCGGGTCACCAGACAGCAGCCACTTAGAGCGTTTCCTCTCATCCTGCCCTTGCTCGGCATCTGCAAAGCCAGCTCGGGGCTGGCAGACTGGCCACAGTCCAGCATCTGAGCTGAGTAGGTCAGAGAAAGAAAATGACTCGAGAAGCTGGTGAGAGCCCCAGTCAGCAAGACCCTTGATCTTTGGGGATTCCCTCGCTGCCCCCGGGGAGCTCCGCGCACCGGGCATCACTTGTGCTGGACTCCCTGTGGGTCCCTCGGCCTCTCAGTGCAGCGGGTGCTTCACTTCCAGAGAGACAGCCATGCCTCTCATTAAAACCTCAGGCTCCAACATTACGTAGTGGGCCATTCCCACCAGCAGCACCAGCAGTGACATTGTCTTTTTCAAACGTTGCCGGTTTGCAGCCTGGGGAACATTCTGTAAGGATGCCACCGTGTCTCCCGTGCTGGATGGGACACTCAATAGGACTCGCCTTCCACAAACATCAGGGCAGAACATTGCTGCAGCATAATCTCCTCCACTCTGGGTTATGCTTCTAGTCAGACCCATCCAAACCACCCCACCCCCACCCCCACCCCAAATGGCCCTGTGGACTAATTCCAGCTTCTAGAGTCTGCTAAGCCCCGGCGTGGCTATCCCCTTGACGAGCCCTGTGAGTCATCTGGAACCCCACTCGGGGAACTGTTTGAGGCCAGGAGTCAGATCACCATTACTCATCTTCAAAGACTTATCTAATCCCTGGTGGGAATGTTCCCAGAGAGGAAGTCCAGAGAATAAACACAACAGCAAAGCTGGTGCATTCCGCTCCCTGCCTGGAACCGGGAACATACCAGACCCACCGGGCATCGGGGAAGAGAGACAACCAGGAAGTCAGCTCCCCTTGCAGGCGCCTCCCAGCATCCTTCCTTCCAAGTGAGCAGGTGGTGGCGCCGACTTCAGGAAAAGGGGGGACTGTTGATCACCTGGCTGCTCGGCTTGTGGCCTCGGGCAGCGGGCAGCGTTCATTGGCCAGGGCTGCCCTCCAAGGGCAGCAGCAGGAGCTCAGGTTAATTTCAGAAGCTGTGAAAACCAAGGAAGCGAAGCATCAGGGGGATGAGGAAGTGTGGGGGGTGGGGGGCAGCTTGGAGGGAATTTGTCTTGTGCCACAGACTCTTTTTTTATCAAGATGATCCCATGCCGATGCTGCTGCTTGATGTCCTCTCTTTGGGTGTGAGTGTTGCTTTCTTGCTGGTTAGAAATAAGAAAGTTTAGCGTCAGTCTGTTAACGTAAGAGAAGGGGGTGGATCAGCCCAGGTGCTGATGTCCTTGGCACCTGGTTCCAGGAGGTTGAGAGTCTCAGGTGTGTGTGTCTTCTCACCTGCAAACACCGCACGATGTAGCGAAAGGGATGGTGCTGGAGCCTGTGTCTTTTCCTGCGAGAACCACAGACCCGAGCTAGCCATTCCCGTTGATTTTAAATGTCCAGTTTCTTATTTCATCTTCTCTAGCTGCAGCCTCGGTGTCACCCAGCTCACTGGGCAGGGTGCACTGGCTGTAAAGTGCTTTATGTGTTTTTGATAGACTTTGAGGGAAACAGAGTAAAAGGAGCAGACAGCCAGACGGGCTCCTCCAGAGAGGGCCGAGGATTGGGCCTCATGCTCCTTTAGGATCCCAGAATCAAAACAGACCTCAGGACGCCTTTCTCACACCTTGACCTTAACCTGCTTGTGATCCGTCTTCCGAAGCCGTGTTCCTGACACCTGGGATGGGGACAGAAAGGAGAAGAGATGGGAACAGTTCCGAGTCACAGCTGGTCGCTGGCAGGCAGAGAGCAAACGGGAACACATGCGCCATCCCGCCGCCAGGAGCCTGCCAGGGATGAGGACTGAGCGATGCCGGGGTTGGCAGAGGCAGCGATCCATTGCAGCTCATTTGAGAACGAGCTCAGGATTCTGAGGAGCCTGGAGTCTTGGGAGGTTCAGGAAGTAGCTGAGGGGAAGCCTTTTGATGCTGCGGGATAGCTGTGTCCTGAGATTCTCTTTGAAGTGAATGAGGTTCATTAAACAGGAGGGTGTTTTAATGGGTGAATGCAGAGGTAGGGGTGACTACAAACAGCATGAGAGGCCAAACGGATGTCCCCTGTCCTGACCTGGTCAGGCCCTGTGCCTTACAGATCATTGATAAGAGGATGCGAGAGAGGTGAGGTGGGATGGCGGGACGATGCGCTTATAGGATGGGCCAGCCTCCCAGCTAAGCCATTTATGTAACTTGTCTTATTTAATCCTCAGAACAGTCCCGTGAGGCTTGTTTGTGCATGTTTACAGGGGAGGAAACTGAGGCTCAGAAAGGTTGAGGCACTTGCCCAAGGCCACAGAGCTCGTGGTGGGGCAAGACTTCAGGTGGCAGCCCTGCTGCCCCAAGTGTCCGCCTGCCGATGCGGGATCCTTCATCCATGAAGGCAGCAATGAGACGAGGAGCGGAGGACCCACTTCCTCAGTTTCCCTCCCTGTTGGGCATCAGAGGATTCTGGGCACGGGCACCGTTCTCGGGGCTGCTTTTCTCTCTGACTGGCAGGTGATTCAGTGGTTACGCCCGAGTCCCCGAGAGCACGCGCTCCGTGACTCCCATCTGGTCTCTCTTCGTTCCAGGCTCCCCAGGCCTTGTCCCACGGTGACAGGACATGGACAGGGGAACAGAAGCCACATAAGAGCAGTCGTTGCTCTTTCATTTTAGGGTTTGTTTGTTGTTGTTGTTGTGGGTGGGGGTTTTTATCCCCAACCGAAGATACGTTTTTATTGATTTGAGAGGGAGAGACATCCATGTGAGAGAGAAACATCGATTAATTGCCTCCCATACATGCCCCAGCCAAGGATGGGACCCGCAACTGACCAGGAATTGAACCCACAGCCTTTTGGTGTACGGGACGACGCTCCAACCAACTGAGCCATCGTCCAGGGCTCGTTTTGTTCTTAACGGGCTTTCGGCTCACGGGTCACTTCAGGATTGCTCTGTGGGTGTTGACTGTGTTGGTGATGACGATGATACTGACAACTAATGTGTGATTTTCTAAGTAACGGTGCCTTCGTTAACTCAGTCAAATCTCCAAATACTCTGAGATAAATACCAAATTTTGGCCCCATCTTAAGTAGCTTTTTCAGGGACACAGGCAGCAAATGACAGATGGAGTGCATACCCAGGTCGTCCGACACCAGAATCTGTCTCGCGGCCATGGTGTGTAAGACCACACTCCTCCTCAGGACGCTGTAATGGTTTTCACAGGATCTGGGGGATAAAATCCAAACGCATCACATTCCTGCTAGAACTGGCTGCTTTAGCAAAATGACTTTTTCATTCCTGCGCACAGGGTGCTTTTTATCACTTCCAGGCCTTGTATGTGTTGTTCCTCTGCCTACAGGAAGTCTTCCCAGATACCCCTTACTTTGGGCTAGGTGTCTCCTTCTTTCATGTCTTAGTGTATTTTCATTGCCTCTAATTCTCTTTCCGTCCCACATAAACTGTGGTGCCGCTGTGTCCCCTTCACCTAATACATACCCAGGTACTTGTAAAAGATGGAATGTATTCATTGCTGTGATCTGTATATGGGACTGGAATAATTTTTACTGTCAAGAATGCTAACTGTGCAAGCTTTAAATATTTATCGGGGGGGTCTGTTCTATCAGACTCCTGCTCTGGATGAGGTCCCTAGGGACGGAGGTATTAGGCAGTGTTATCAGAATTAGACTGCGTCGCTGGTTATCCGAATATACAGCAAAATGATTACGAAATCCTTTCCCTCTGTCTGCAAGTCCCAGAGTTGTGCTGGCTTTGCATGTCTTTCCTTGAGAACTCTCAGTATTTCCCCCTATATTTTCTTCTCGAAGTTGTAGGATGTTGTTCTTACATTTAGGTTTATGGTCCGTTTCTAATTAACTTTCATGTATGGTAAGAGGTTAAGATCAAGGTTAACTTTTCCCCCAAAAGGCTCTTCAATTGTTCGAATTCTCCTTTCCCCCATGGTGTTGTCTTGATGCTTTTGTCAAAAACTAGTTGACCAGCCTGGCTCAGAGGTTAAGTGTCAACCTATGAACCAGGAGGTCATGGTTCGATTCCCGGTCAGGGCATATGCCCAGGTTGTGGGCTCGATCCCCAGTGTGGGGTGTGCAGGCGGCAGCCAGTCGATGATTATCTCTCATCATTGATGTTTCCATCTATCTCTTCCTCTCTGAAATCAATAAAACCATATTTAAAAAATAAAAAACACCAGTTCACCACATGTATGTGGGTCTAGTTCTGGATTCTAGTTTGTTGCATTGTTCTCAATGTATATACATCATAGGCCAATACCACACTGCATTGTAGCTTTATAGGAAGTCTTGAAATCAGATCATATAAATCAAGTAATATAAATTTTAGCCACTCTTTCTTATAGAGAACTCATCAACTAAGCAATTTATAGTAATTAGCTGTAGTATCACATTATAACCGGTTTCATGCTTTGAAAATACTTGGTGCATCTCCTGCTTTAGATGATCTGTTATCTGAAATCTGGCTAATAGAAAGGGACAGGTAGGAGTTCTTGATCTGGTCAAGCCTAATGTCACAAATAAATATGGTAAGAAACAGCACTGCTTTTAATTTTATCTCCCTCCCCACCTTTTGTAAAACCTAGTAGCCAGAGCCTTACGCACCCTGGCAGGTGTGGCTCAGCTGGTTGGGCGTCATTCCATGCACCAAAAGGTCGCCAGTTTGATTCCTGGTCGGGGCACATGTCCAGGTTGCAGGCTCAATCCCCGATGGGGAGCATGCAGGAGGCAGCAGATCGATGTTTTATTCTCACATCAATGTTTTTCTCTCTCTCTTCCTCTCCCTCTAAAAATTAAAAAAAAAAAAGACAAATTTTAGAAAAAGAGCCTTATGCACACCTGTAAGACAAATGACAGAAATACTAGCACGAGCTCCAGAATGCCCAAGGAATCAGTCTATAATGTTACCCCATATTCAAGAGTGGAATTCATCCTACATGGTTAAAGGTTTAGAATAGTCATGTAAGCATGTTCTTAGAGACCTAAAACTTAAATAAGTGAAAAGTATGTACGTGTTTTGTAAAAAGGGTTTGTTCTACACAAATGACATCGGCTTTAACAACTTAATATCCAGAGTGGTTTCCATTTTGGAATGTATAATTTTTCAGGGTTTTTTTTGGGGGGGTGTGGTCTTTGAGAAAACACAATTCACTCAGCTTGCCTCGGCGTGAGACTGCGCCAGGGGCTCCAGGGACTCTTCGGACGCTGACAGCAGAAGGGGTCCTAGTGAGCACTGTTCAGAGAGGGAAAGGGAGACTGGGACGTGCACAAGGCCACACAGGAAGAGCTGACATTAAACCCCAGGTGTGCCAGTGTCCTCACCTCGAGAAGCACACCTGGCACCGTAGATCAGGGGTCCTCAAACTTTTTAAACAGGGGGCCAGTTCACTGTCCCTCAGACCGTTGGAGGGCCGGACTATAGTTTAAAAAAACTATGAACAAATTCCTATGCACACTGCACATATCTTATTTTGAAGTAAAAAAACAAAACAGGAACAAATACAATATTTGTATTTGCATGTGGCCTGCGGGCCGTAGTTTGAGGACCTCTGCCGTAGATGCATGGAAGGGTGCTGGCAGGTGCAGTGAGAACATTAGCTTGAACCAGGTGAATCTGCTGTTGGGGGTCAAAAAAACGTCAGGCGTCGGGGATTTCCTGTGGTTACCCTGTTAGGTAAGCCCTCAGACAAAATCAGGAGGTGGGAAGCCACTGTGAATGTGTATGGAAAATGGACAGGATCCGATGGCTGTGGGCGAGAAGGTTGGCTTAGGGTTGGCTGGGTTGGTCAGAGAAGGTGGACTGTTAAGAGGACCCAGGAGGTTTGGTTGGGGGAAGCCTCAGGAAGGACCAGGTGGGGCCCTCGGAGTGGGCTCCGGGCGACTGAGGCAGAAGCCAGAGCCTGGCCCTCAACCCTGCGTTCCAATGACAGCTCCGGGCAGCGGGTGTGATCTGTGTTGTGAGTGCCTGGGTGCCACGGACCTTGTAGAATATGCTTTGCTGTTATTTCTGTCTATTCCCTTGTTGGGCTGAGGATAGGAAGGTGTTCTCAGCCTCTGACAGGATGGGTGGAGATGCTCTTGTTGGGCACCTGCGTTCCATGGCCAGCGTTCCTGAGACCTTGCGAGGGCCTGGCTAGAGGTGGGAGCTTAGATTTAGTAAATGCAAGCAAATCATGTCTGAAGCCCACTCTCCCAAACTCGGCTTTCTTAACAAGGCACCAGTCATTTGGTCGTAAGCTGTTGGTCTCACCTGGCTGACCGAGTGTCTTTTCTTGAGGCGTGCTGTCTTTCTGTCTTTCTGCCGCGCACTCTCTTGGCATCTTCGTCAGTCTCTGTCTCTGTGCTTTTTTTCTTGGCCTCTGCTTGCTCTCTATTCTTTTGACTAACTGCTTTTTTCTCTCTCTCCCTCTCTCTCTCTCTCCATCCAAAACTTCTGACTCAGAATGAAATCTTCACAGTTGAACTCACCTGTGGTGTCTTCTTGTCGCTCTTGCAGTTCCGCCAGGAGTGATACAGAACGGAGCGCGGGTTCTGAGCCGAGGGCTGTTCCCCGGAGTCCGGCCATTGCCAATCACTCCCATCGGAATGACGGCCGCCATGAGGTAAGGGGGGCGCTGGCTGGGCAAAGCCTGCCTAGGGAGTGGGAAAGGCATCGTGGGTCCTGCGGGGGCCACTTGGTGGGATGGAGAGAAACAGCCTCTAAGGAGTGAAGACAATAAACCTGGTTTGGGTGTTTAAAAAGTAACTCCCAGCGACCCCAATCCAAACACCAGCTTCTCCTTCTCAGCCTGTCAGGTGATCCTGGTCTCCGTGCAGGTGAGATGAAGACAGATCAAATTAAGTGGGTTAGAAAACAGGGTAAGGTGGGTAGAGGGAATGGTGAGCAATTTGTTCAAGATCCTGGCTGTAGACACAGGCCTGTCACTTACCAGTGCCCTGCCTTTGGGTGGATGTCTGACCTCTCTGGGCCCCAGTTTCCTCCTCCATGAAGCTCCTCAAATCAAATGCCAAAGCGTGCGTGAGAAGTGCCGAGGCACCTGGTCTATAAATAACCGGGCATCGTTTCCCTGCTTCTAAGGATCAGGTCACTTGCCAAATCAGAAGAACTAGGGTCCTGCGCCAGCGTGGATGTCTGCTCCGACTGGCTCTGCTGCCTCCCTGCCCACTTCTGCCCACCCAGCCACCACCAGCCATCTGCAGAACCTTCCAGGTCTCCCACCATATCACCCAGCACCCATCCCCGTCCCCCTGTCTCCTGGAGCCAAATTTGTTCCCCAGATATGTCCGGGATTTGCCCATCTTATTCAAGCCGTGTCCTCCCCGTAGGTTTTCCTCAGCCTCCACACACAGGGCAGCACGTCCTTCAGGACCCATCACGAACATGATCCCCTCACAGACCTTTTCTGAACACGGCATCCGCTACAGGAATGAATTGCCGCTGCAGAGATGAAGAGGCGTTAGGGTGATAGAGGAACAGGAAACGCACAGGGAAGGCATGTCCCTTCTTCCTCCACCCCTCCCCAGTCTCTCTGTGGCGCCCCCTCTTGTCCAAGCCTCCTGTGGACCAGGTGGTACAGCCCAGCCCTAGCCCCTTTTCAGGAAACACTGGAAGGGTGGCTTTGGGCTGAGTGACAATAGCTTCCTAATGGCACAGCTTGCTCAAAGCCTGCCCACAACCAAAGCACCATTGTCTAAGAGTGCCCTTCCTGAACTCATAGGAGTTTGGAGCAGAATTGTTTCGGTATCCAACCACAATTTGCAGAAACTGGACAAGTTACCATTGCCATGGAGATAAGCAGTTAAAGAAAACCATCATGCATTTCCAGTGCACCATCCAAATGCCGCACCTCCCACCCCAGTTTTAAGAGAAATTGGGCAGAGATGTATTGCAAGCTCTGTAAGGTCAAGGACCCTTGCTAATTATACCTGCGCCCTCTTTATGTCCCCAATGTCTGGCAAATAGGCATTGAGATGCTTTTTGGGGAAAAACACACACATAAATATACATAGATATTTGCAGAATCAGTGTCTGGGTAAAACTCATTAAGAAGTGTTTGCGAGAGTCCTGGCCCATGTGGCTCAGTTGGTTGCGGAATCATCCTCTCCTGGTGCCACCAGGAGATTGCTGGTTCAGTTCCTGTCAGAGAAGATGCACATGTTGTGGGCTTGATCCCCAGTAGGAGGGTGCAGGAGGCAGCCATGCATTCTCACATCAATGTGTGTCTCTCCCTCTCCCTTCTCTCTCTACAAAAACTCAATAAACTATTCTTTAAAAAAAAAAGAAGAAGAAGAAAAGATCTTCTCCCTATGAGGAAGAAGATCTTGTTTTGTTCTTTCACATTCGTTATAATTTAAATTTCTTTTTAGTTTGGCCATGTCTCCATAGAACCAGACGCGGCTGAGGTTAAAAGGGAAGTAAAACAGCAGCAGACGTCCTCTGCCACACCACATGGCGGTGACCAAGGGTGCCCGGGGGGCACAGACGTTTGCGCGGGTTGTGGGCCACTGTCCCTGTCAGTCCAGCTGCAGCTGGAGGGAGGGCCGGGGAGTCATTAGCACCCACTAAAGACCGATTTTCTCCTCTGCTTCGTGTGACAGGTCTTCTGTGTGAGTCTAAGCGACTTCTCCTTAAGTGAAAATATTTGTCTTTCAGGGATTTTTTTTTCCTCCACTGAGTGGCAAAGGCCATGTTTGTTTGTCTTAACTCTGAAACCATTATTGACTTAGATGAAGTGTTACTTTTATTAGCTGATCATTACACAGCTTGTATTTGCTGGGTTCCCTTGCATATAATTATGATGTGAAATCTCCTTGTAAGAGTATCTGTCAATAGTGTAATTGACTTTACAGTGTTGACTTTTTACTCAGTAACCTCAGAGATTGGCCCATCCATACACGTTGGAATCCTACTTATTTTGAAATCTGCCTGGGCGGAGAGTCCTCAAGACACATGATCCTCAAAATAACCGCTTACACGTCTTAAAGTTTTATGCCTGTGTCTTCTGGTGCTTTCCCAGTGGGGTTTCTTACAGAGAATACATTGAAGGCAAGAAATGGCTACCGCCCTAGAAGCACTGTTTCTGGCCCCCTTGAGAGACGGGAACCCCAGATTTCTTCCATTAATAGCATTATGGGCTGCCTCCCAGGTAGGAGTCCTGAATCTGGGCCACCTTGCTTTCAACTATTAGGGTTCTTTTTGGCCCCAAGTAACCACTCAGGTGGCAGAGAGGACTTGAATGCCCAGGGCTTTCCAGAGGAATCAGAGACAACAGACGGGAGTGGGGTTCTTCATAGGACAACAAAGCCCAGAGATTGCACACGTGAGCTTGGGAAACCAGTTTCCTGGGTTCGTATCCTGTAGCTGTGTGACCTGGGGCAAGTGTACCTGGAAGAATCAGCACCTGCCTCGGGATTAACACTGATGTGCCTGGCACAGAGTATGCATTAGGCAGGTGCTTGATAAAAAAAAGTGGAGAACAGCCCAATTCAGAAATGGGCAAAGAACTTGAATAGACATTTCTCCAAAGAAGATACACAAAGGGCCAGTAAGTATGCACATGAAAAGATGCTCAACATCTCTGTTCACTAGGGAAATGCAAATCAAAACACCAGTGAGATACCATTTCACACCCATTAAAGTGGTTACTATCAAAACAAACAGAAGCCTAATCGGTTTGGCTCAGCGGATAGAGCGTCGGCCTGCGGACTCAAGGGTCCCAGGTTCGATTCCGGTCAAGGGCATGTACCTTGGTTGCGGGCACATCCCCAGTGGGGAGTGTGCAGGAGGCAGCTGATCGATGTTTCTCTCTCATCGATGTTTCTAACTCTCTATCTCTCTCCCTTCCTCTCTGTAAAAAAAAAAAAAATCAATAAAATTTAAAACAAAAAAAACCAACAGAAAATAACAAGTGTTGCCAGGGATGTGGAAAATGGGAATCCTTATCACTATTGGTGGGAATGTAAATGGTGCAGCCACTGTGGAAAATGGTGTGGAAGTTCCTTAAAATAGAATGGCCACACGATCCAGCAGTTCCACTTCTGGGTACATACCCAAAAGAATTGAAAGCAGGGTCTTAAGAAGATATTTGTAATTCCATGTTCATAGCAGCATTATTCACAATAGCTAAAGTGTACATGCGACCCACGCGTCCATCAACAGATGAATGAATAAGTAAAATGTGGTATATACACACATAGAATATTATTCAACCTTTTAGGAAGGAAATTGTAACATGCTACAGCATGGATGTACGTTGAGGATATTATAGTGAGTGAAGCCAGTCACAACAAGGCAAATAGTGAGTAAAAATTATAGAAAGTAGAATGGTGGTTGCGCCAGGGACTGGGAGGAGAGAGAAATAGGGAGTTACTGTTTTAATGGGTATAGAGTTAGAAACTTACAAGATGGAAAGTTCTGGAGATGGATGGTGGTGATGGTAACATAGTATTATGAATGTATTAAAGTTTGGTGCGTGGGAGTAAAATTAATGTGGAGAGGTTCATGGATTTATCTAGCCTGCCCTCCATAGTCCCTCCCAGGTCACTTTTCTGAGTACCCCAAACTCCTGGAGAAGGCTCAGATTAAGCCTGTGCTACCTTCAGAACAGCACATTTAGGGTGAAACCATTGGTTTTGAGGAATGATGGCAGTAGTCAGGACTGCAAGTCTAAACCATAACATGTTATAAAATTAGAAGGAAGTTCCATGTAATCACCATCTAAGGTGCTTAATTTTATTTGAGTCGCTTAGGACCTCAGGTGAAACTTCAATTTCCATGGAACATGAAGCAAGTCAGGAATTAATGGTCCTATTATAATACAAAATACTAATATTTAAGGTCCTGTCCAAACAGTCATCAGGAAAACCCATCTGTCAGCCTAAGATCTGCTCCCAGGCAACTGTCTTGGTCTTTCCCCTTGAGAAGATGTTTGTCACAGGTTTAGAAAGCCTGCCACCTTCGGTATAAGATTGGCTGTGGTCTGACTACACAGCTTGCGGACTGGTCCTTTTTTTGTGCTGTGTTGTATTTTTACAGATCAAGCATCTGTCAGCTTTTGTCTTCTGAAATCATGGTCTTTGAAGCCAAGTCTGAACCTCAGTATTAGATTATGCTGAGTCTGTGCTGGGAGGGAGAGGAGGAAATACTAAAGGGATAGAGATTAAAGGCAAAGGGAAAAGAAATACCAGGAGGACAGAGCAGAGGAGTTCTCACTGAACCCCCTGTCTCTGCTTCTTGTCTCTGCTTTCGGCTCCTCTGGGCCAGAAATCTAAACATGTGAAATTTGATCATTCTAGAGTTGCTTTTCGTATTTTAAATCAATGGCATTGGTTAAAGCGTCCTGCTGGCTTTTTCTGTTGTATCTGAAAATGCTCAGAGCCCCTGGTGATTCTGAGCGGTGCCACGTGCAAAACAATGGATGGAGGAGAGGAATAATTTTAGAATAATTTTTCTTTGTGTTCTGTGATCTAATGCAGAGAGGGAGTCACAATTATCTCAGTGGTTTAGGGGGACAATATGCAGCTCATGGGAGAAAATTGTGCCCCGAACCCCAACCTGGAGATGACCACTGAGGTAGAACTGGGATTGTGGAACTTGTGTTTC